AGTATAATTTCCTCTTTTTGAATTTAGGCTGGTGCAGGTGGTTTATCTGACCAACAGAATCTGGCAGAAGTGACATTCAAGGTTAGATCAAAAGAAGTCTTACAGCTTCTGCCCAGAAGTCTTAGAATGTCTGCTTTTGGCAAGCTCTCTCCTTAAATTGAGCTGCCAAGGTTTGAAAAGCCCACGGTACAGAGATGCCACAGCAGATGACCTGGACAACAGCCCCAGCTGCTCCTAGCAAACAGTGAACATCACCACCAACCACAGATGTGAGCCGTCTTAGACTGAGTGCATCTCAGTTAAGCCTTTAGAGGATTCCAGCCCAGCTGCTGTCTGCCTATAACCTTATGGAGATCACATGTAAGAAATACTCAGCTCAACTCAAGCAACCCACGGGACCATGAGGGAGAATAATAACGAACTGCAGTTTGAAGCAACTAAATTTTAGGATGACTTGTTATATAGAAGTAGATGAGCAGAACATCTCTCCTCTTCAATGATGGAGAAACACTACTAAAATCATTTCCGTTAGGAAGGAGGGAGGGAGGGGGAACAGTAAGACAGAGAGGAGGTATGTGTGTTGGGAGTAGGGAGGGTTACAGTTTCAGATTTACTCAGGACTAGGCATGAGTTTAAATGGCAATACTGAAGAAATGCCTGTAGTCAAGGAAAGAAACCTCAAGTTACAAAAACTTGGTTAAATAAATACACGGTTCCAACTATATCTATATAAAATCCCCAAAATATACACATCTGTAACAGACATACTCCCTGTATGCCACAATGCAACATCTGAAAATAATATTCCCAATTACTATTCTTTTCTGACAAGCAAAGCATAAGTTGCACTAACGGAAAAAAAAGCAAAGGCGTCAATGTGGGAATCCTCTGGGTTGTTCCTACAGCACTAGGTCAGAATGAAGTATCCAAAAGCAAACATTTATACGGCTTAGGGATACACTCGAATGTAAAAACAAAAAAGTATAAACATATGCATGGAAATGAAAAACACCGAAGTCAGGATAGGGCCAGCTCTTGGGAGACGAGGCGGGGAAGCTACTGGGACAGGCACCTGAGGGCTTCCAGCAGCATTTGTCACGTTTGATCGTCATAAGCTAAGAGGTGTACACAGGGGTGTCTGCATCTTTTTGTTTTTCAAAATTACAGGAATTAACTGGAACTAAATGTGATGCAAAACAACATGCACGATAAAAACTTGCCTTAAAAATGGTATCTGATACATGCTGTGCAAACAGGCATAAAAATACCATGCACACGGGAACTACCATTATAATGAAGACATAGGTAACAACAACTGGGTCAAACTTACTTGCAGGGACAGAAGTTAAGATTACTCCTTTATGCCATGTTTTTCCCAATGGTGATGTTTTCACCAATCCCTTCTGGCACCAGCAACATGAACATATCAATTATTTTTCCCACTTAAAATGAATATAAACTCCCATAAGCATTAGATATATTTACATATATACACACACAAAAATGTGCGTTCATGGGTGTGTATCTCAATGGAAAAATACAGTGGGTCTATTATGAAAGGACTATTGTTCAGAAAGCATGTCTGCTTATCTTTCCAAAAATTATTACAGAATACCATTATTTTTTATTGGCATGCAAATAATTTTAAATAATATGAGCTTCCTAAGACAGAGGTTCATACTTTTTGACATTTTTTTTTCGGGTGAATATTATTTAATTTCATTTCAATGTGATTTTTTTGTGCCAAATAAACTGATCATCAGTTTTATATCTTCCTTGAAATAAGTCATGGCATCATTTATATTTCCTTATCTGATGATCTTAAGATCGAAGGATCACAAACTAAAGATTCCAGCCCCCTTGGGATTTCAACCTGCTATTTTACTAGTTGCACAGAAGACAGTCAATATACACTTTTTTTTCAATCGATTTAGGGACTGCAACCTACAGACCATGTGGCACTACATGTTATTTTTTTCTTAAAGTAACAGCAACTCAGCAATAACAACAGTGTACTCGGAGATAATGTAAGTTTTCAAAGTCACTGGGAACCTAACTGGAAGTGGTCAGTGGGGACTGGCCCCCTCTCCTCTGCCCATTTACTGAGAGCCTCTGCTGCCGCCGCAGTGATGGCCAGTCACGTCTCTCTTCGGGCGAAGCTCCAGACCCAAGAAGGGGAAGGATGGAAAGAAATTGAAGGTGTGCGTATTTTGTACAGAGACACCTACGGGTCTAAGTCTGTGTTAAAACTTCGACAACTTCTAGCCTAATTCACAAAACAGAAAACAAACTTATGGAAAAAAACCACCACCACAAGAACCTTTCAGATTTAGAGTTTGTAAACTCCACTTTCAGTATTTAGTTTCATTTTGAGCCGTGCTGAATAGATCACTACTGGTAAGTGTGAATCTATAAAAATGCTCAGAAAACTGAAGTCAAATATTTCAGTTTTCTAAACTAAAACTAAATGTGCAAATAGATGAGTTTAGATTCACCCTTTTACATGTTGATATAAGTATTTTTAATCACTTCAGTTACATATATTAGTATACCAAAAATAAATTAATGAATGGGATTAATTTTTCTCCCTTTTGCCTCCAAAATCTTCCCCCAACTTTACTATCATTTTTGTTGTTTTTCTAAAACACAATAAAATCAAACATTATTATACTACTACTTTAGATAAGTGCCATAAAGGTTATGAGACAAAGACCTCCCTGCATATTTTCCGTTTTTGCAGAAAACAGACTATAAAAGAGAAAAGGCCTTCTTCAAAGAAATGAGCAGCTTTGATTACAAGTGCAAAAGTCAGCCAAGTGTACTAATTCTCAGTAATAATGAAGCAAGGTGACCTCCCCGGGGACTTAAAAGTCAACGCCTGGAAATGCTTGGGTGAACTAAGAAGGGGAACTGCTCACGTGACACAACTTTTCAAAACCCTTTGTATTCCCAACTGGACAGACAGTGGCCCACAAGGCTGTGGACTCACCAGGACTTTCTAAGGTGTAAGACTGGCTCGGATGATCAGGAAAACTCTGCCAAAGCCAGCAAAGAGAAATGCTGCTGCTATTAAAAATTACAATGAAAATGGACTCATTCGTCCCACTACTGAGAATTATAGAGGCTTGGATTGTTTGCTACCTACAGGATTGCTTACCTGGAAAATAAACTCTTACTTCTTAAAGCCATGACTGAAAAAAAAAAAAAAAATCAAAAGGCAAAACAGGAGACTTGAAACACTGAGGACCACTGTCTACCAGCTTTTGAGATGAAGGATGGCAAACCTCATTTCACAGATATTTTAAGTAGCTGTAAAGCCCAAGTGGCTCCAATTTTAAGCCTGTGTTTAGATCAAGTTTGAAAAAGGGCTGCACCTCTTTACAATGACGAGGCACCACTTCTGATGCCAATCTGGGCTTTGTGTTTGAAATGGGCGACCACATAGGAGAAAACAAGACCACCTAGGGTAGACAATACGTGCCACAACCGATCTCCCTGGCACCCAGACCCATGTGCAGGCAAAATGCTTTCATTAAAAAGAAAATAAACCTCTAGATTATTGCCAAAATCTTGAGCTATCACATAATTAATTTCACATTTTAAATTCTGACAAAGATATATAATCATGCATTTTCAGCAGGTTTAAAACCTAAAAAAAAACAAAACAAAACAAAAAAAACCCAAAAAACAACAAAAAACCCCACCTGATGCACTGAAAGGCCCTGCTACCTCTGGCTCCGTGGAGCAGCCTGCAGGCCAGGCAAGATACAACCTATGGCTATGCTGGTTCAAAATGAGAAAATCTAGTGACTTCCATGGAAATCGCAGTTCTTTTCAATGAAGAACACTTTTTGCAACTCCTAATGTTCTTTTTATTATTGTGTGTGTGTGCCCTTTTTATTTAGGACATGAAAGGCTGCCTTTTCACCCTGAATGCTCCTAAAGTTACAGGACAAGGGGACCCTACCTGGCCGTCTCTGACAGGTCAGCGATCAAACAGAGGCAGGCAGCAGCCCAGTTCCATGCATCTGCTAAGAATGACCAGGGCTAGCACTTCTCAGCTCCTGCTACGCTCAAGGAACCCCCACTCAATGTTAGACAGGACGATAGGCCCTTTCCGAACAAAGGGTTAATATTCCTAGGTTTAATGCCCAGCTCCTAATCTCAATGATTTTCAAGAAAAGATTATTTTATACATACCATTGCCCGAATAGAACAAGCTAATTAAAAAATAAAAGTGACCTCATTTTTCTTATAAAAAACAGAGGTTTAGAAGAAAAATATACCAATATTGTATTGCCCTAGTGATCAAAGGCTGTTTATTTAACCAACCTTATCTTGAAATAGCACCATTCTTTGTATAAGAGTTTAATTTACTCAAAGTATTTACATTCACATGAAGAAACCTGTACGTAAGATAAAACAAGACATGTTTTGCTGAGCTCAAGAACAAGATGCAGGTTGTTCATCCACATAAATACTCATTCCAAGCGTTGCTGACAATGCAGAGCACACTCAGCCAGTTATTTCCCAGGATCCTCCTTGCAGAGGCACTGGGAGGCTTGAAGAGCTGCCAGCACTTACGAGGTAAAGCAAAGCAGAGAGCGATGGCTGCTGGCTTCAAACTACTCGTTGTAGTGCCTGACCCAGCAGAGGGTGCCATGAGGAAAGACTGTACTAAAAATTAACTTTAGAAAAGGTTAGCAAAGATTTTTCAAAGGCCAAACATTTCTGCACCAAATGACTTCTATTGCAGCACCAACCGCAAGCAATGACAAATTTAACAGGCATGGCTTAACAGGCAATAAGATCAGAAATCATTTACCCTTCCACCTCAGGGATGGTTCGCTTGCTAGGAAAAGGCGAGGTGCCCTAGTAGACTCTGCCTTGTACAGGATCTGTGGTTGAACAGAAGCCTTAGTCCACACTTGTTCACCACGGGGGTGATAATGCATGTGAAACAAATCTTTTCAATGTAGAAATCTGCAAAATGTACTTACACAGCCTCCGGCAAGAATTTCTGCTGCAAGTGGAACCGAACCATCTTTGTGCATAAATTTATCCCTCACAAAATCGTTCACCTTGAAGAAAAATATTTATAGAAGCTGATGAAAAATATAAAGAAAGTCATTAAACATATAAATACACATCGGTAAATATGTTATTATTTTTCGGTCACTTTATTAAAGTAACCGTACACTAAATAAATTAAGGATCTTAAAAGAGTGAGATGTGCTCTTACTGGCACAGATGTAGTTTTATAATGGAAATATACATCAGTGGGGACCCCAAAAAACCCAGAATTATCTTCTGGAGCTCAGGCCCCTTGCAGTACAGGTTTCCCCCGGCTAGGTGAGTGATCTAGGAACCCATCTGTATCAGAATACCAGCTGGCGTTGTTGTGAGAGGCTGTGTTTGGCTTGAGTGAATTTTTTTTGAAGACTCAACACTTTTGCCCATTTCATAACGGGTGATTTACAAGCGCACCTGCCCACACCACTCAGAGTGTTTAGCAGTTTTTGACCAAATCCAGCATGACCCCGTGCTCCATCCTCTCTATTCACCCGATCTCGCCTCCAGCGACCTCTTTTTGTTTCTCCGGATGAAAAAATCCTCAAAGAGAAATGTTCTACTGGTGTGGAAGAGGTGAAACAAAAAACTGCAGAAGCACTACAAGGCATCCAAATCAACAGCTTTAAAAACTGTTTTGAGCAGTGGGAAAAAAGTCTCAATAGGTGTATTGCATCAAATGCGGAGTACTTTGAAAATGACTGAAGTTTAAATACCTAAGAATAAATACACAATTTTTTATAAATAAATTCTAGTTTTTGGTGTCTCCCCTTATATATGTATCTATAGATGTGTGTATATATAGATATTTCAGGAATAAAAAAAATTAAAATATCGCTCTGACTGGTTCAGTGGTTTGGGTGCCATGCTATGAACTAAAAGGTCACTGGTTCAATTCCCAGTCAGGGCACATGCCTGGGCTGCAGGCCAGGTCCCAGACTGGGCGCGTGCAGCAGGCCATTGATCAATGTTTCTCTCACACATCGATGTCCCTCTCCCTCCCTTCCTCCCTCCCTTCCCCTTTCTCTAAAAACAAATAAAATATTTAAAAAAATTAAAATATCGATGGCTTACAAGTCTAAAATTCAAATATGTTCTGTAATTATAATAGCATAAAAAGAGACATACTGGCAATAGAGACAAAATGAAAACATATACTTTAGAATTTAAAAACTGCTTTATAGGGTTTGATTAAAAATTACTTTTAAGTCTTCTAACAAGATTTAATCTAAAATAGCTCTCATCATTGAGACAAATTTGGCTGAGCGGATTTTTCAACTTAGTCAAAATTCAGTTCCTAAAAACTCTCTCAAGGATTCTCAAAGAACGCTAATAGCATTAATTAATTAATTAAGTATAATAGTCTCAAAATAGTATTCATTATAAGCAATTTTAAGGATCAATCATATGTTTTTGGAAGATAAAAGCCAGAAAAGATTAGCTGCCCTACAGTCATATAATAAGATGGTAAAAGAAGAATTCCGGGTACAAAGGCTACGTAGCCCAACCTAAAAGTAGAGCTTAGCTTTCTGGGTCTCTTGTCTCTAGTGATGTAAATGCAGTGTCTGTGCCTATCTGTTCCACAAACACTCGCTGAGTATCTACCATCGGCCAGACGCTGGAGAAACCATCTGATGAAGGATCAGCTACAACAAGAATCCTCAACACGTGGCCTTAGCAAATGCTTACAGAACATGTCCTAACCCTGAATTCTGTAAACAGCATGTGTAATTGAATGAGTATATGCTCTAAAGTCAGAAAAATCTGATGGTGAATTTTAGTTTTCCCACCCATAAATAATGTCAACACAGGTAAACATTTCAACCCCGTGGGTCTCCCTTTCCTTGTCTGTAAACTGTGGGTCTGGCTTTCCTTGTACCTGATATGCTGGGTATTGAAGGGGCTGTCGCTGCTGCCGCCGCCAGTGCTACGATGGTGAGGATGGTGAGGATGGTGACAATGGTGGCAACCGCCAAAAGCCTTGTTCAAATACAGCATCTCATTTTTGGATGTTCAGTGTTAAATGGGGAAAAATGAAAAGCTGTGTGTGGGGGGTACTGTCTGTAAAAATCAGTTAGTAGCTCTGAGGAAACACAAACCTGCTGTTTCCCCTACGAGTATCTACTAGAGTCCTGAGTATGTGCAAACTCCTTTAATAAGAAGCATCAACTCAAAAGGCTTACTGTAAGTTTTATGGCCTTCTCTGGGGCGACTCCCAATAACTGTGGCAACAGACCTAAAAAACAACAGAAAGTAGAAGTATATTAAATAAATTAGCATTAACTAAACAAATTAACGGCTCTAAAGAAGGGATCACCATGTAAAAACTGAGGCAATCTTTGCTGCAATTTTCTGCTATTACCTTTAATGAGGACACACAAAATGGAAATGCTGAAGTACTAATGTCTAACGGCCACATCAGGCCCAAGCAAATTCCCTCTCACACTCTGGATCATTTGCACATTGAGCGAACCAACAGCATTAGTAATACAGGAAATCTCATTCCGCAGCAAGTCTGCTCTTTTCCCTCCTGCCTCTTAAACAAGTAAACTTTGGTGAATATATTATATATTTTTTAACACTCTTCTCATCGCTCTCCATCCCTAAATGCCCGCAGTTCAACTACTCACTTATTTAGTGATCACGACGCAGGGACAAGCACAAGACAAACAAGGCTCTTGCTCTGACAGGTCTCAGACGGAAGGAAGGAGAGGCCATTCTGCAGAAGTAACCACGGGGGGAAACTGCGTTCCAGGAAGGGGGCCGGATAGGGCAAAGAGAGCGGAGCAGGCACAGGCCGGGTATGCTCAGGATGAGGGCGGACAGCTGTGTGCCCTATCGCAGGAGGCAGGCCTGGGAGGGCCCAGGCGCTGGAGCCGCACCGCGGGCCAGGGTTCTGAGCTTGGTGTGCCCTAGGTTAGAAGAGAACCGGAGGGGTTTGGCCAGGAGGAGAGTGATGTGCTAATTCATAGTTTTAAAAGGCCACTCCTGCTGCTGTGCAGAAAATAAACAAGATGCACTGATATTGTGTGTGTGTGTGGCGGCGGGTGGCTTGGGGCAGGGAGTGTCAAGAGAGGAGACTGTGAGACAAAGAAAAATTGAATTTGACTGTGAAAGCTCAGGTTTTAGCATGAATGCCTCAGTAGAATGAGGAAGCCTGTGCGAGCCACCGGGGTGGGGCGAACAGTGAAGAGCTCCGCTTTGGACGTGTTGGATGAGTGGGAATCAAGCGAGAATCAGAGCACAAGGGGGAGGTGTGGTCTTGGGCAGAAAAGGGCTGCGATTAGGAAAGGCAGTGGCAACAAGAGCGGACCTAGTATTTACACTAAAAGAAATGTTATCATTTGCTCTAAGAAAATAATTTCAAAATCACATGCCTTTCCTTAAAAATACACAGGGAGCTAACCTGGAGAATCAGAATATATTGTTCCCCGTGTCGTAGTGCTGTCCCTGAGAGGGACTTTATGGTGTTGTCCTTCCTAAGTACAATGCTCTAATTCATCTATACCAGAAGGACCACTTGCAGCCTCTTCTGAGAGACCAGCCCAGCCCACACTGTCTTCCTGATGCAGCAGCCTGTGGCCAAAAGACACTAGATCGAGGGCTGTATGTACCAGCCTGTGGATGCACTTCATTGAGCGACGTAAAGTTTCAAGCAAAATGTGAACGTCCTGTCAAGACAGACGGATGTGACAGCCCTGGGCTTCCTTCTCCCATCAGAGCACTCTGCTCCCATCGCCTAAGCCTCCGCCTTTTTATTCAGGACCCGAGCACCCATTCACCAAGGTCCCCACCCATGCCCCAGTGCCGACAAGACAATGAAGACAAGACAATGAAGACAAGACAATGAAGACAAGACAATGAAGACGAGTGCCAGCTGTCTCCATCCTTTTCCTTGCCCTGCAGATGCTGTTTCTCTGTGCTTGTGGCTCTACGGAAAGGGGGGAACTAGACAGACCAAAGGAGCCTCATGTTTTAAAGAAAAAAATGAGAAAGCTTAGTTCATTGTGGAAATAAATGATGATGAGTATACTGATACAAATGAAAATTTTCTGTAAAAAAAAAAGCTAATGTATTGTTTATTATGTGTGGGGCTCAATTTTAAGCACTTTACTAACTCATTTACTCCTCATAACCACCCTACGGAGAGGAGACTGGGGCTTATATAGATGAAGTAATTTGGTCTAAGTTATCCAGCCGGTAAATGGTGAGACTGGGATTCAAACCTGAGCCCCCATAATCAAGAATCTATGCTTATAGACAACATTCACCTGTGGCCTATGTCTAATATGCAAATGAGTATCTGCCTCTCACACCCAGGCTCATTTGCTCTCTTACAAAATCTGTGTGGACCCTAGGAGCATGTGAGTCTGCCACATCTACCTAGGGAGCCGCATTTTGAGCCTGCTCTGCCGCCAGTGTCACAACTGCCTGAACGAGGGAAAGACGTCTAAAGGACATGCAGCCAATGATTTCAGCAACCTGGGCCCTGGGGCCTGGTTCCAAATGTACAGCCAGCCAAGCAAGAGTGTGAAGGAGTCCTTAGGGGTGATCAGCCAGTTAGCACAAGGCACAGACTGAGAGGGTACCTTGTGGAGTGGGGAAAGCAGCCAGGTGAAGCCACGTTTGTAACAATGCCACAAGGAAGGAGAAACCATGAATACAGAAAGGAAGTAGGCTGGCGGAGAGAACAGAGTGTAGACTAAGTGGAGCAGGGACACCAAAGAGGGAGATCCGCAGCCTGTAAAATGTACCCAGGTGGGGAAGCCAGCCTTGACCATCCCGGTCCCGCTGAGGCCGGGCTCCAGGGAGACTCCTGCCCCGGGGCCCCGGCAAGACCTCTGCCCTCTTTCTCTGCAGTGTGAGGTCTTACCAAAAGTTCCCGCGTGCTCTGGCTAGCTGGAGCAGGCCTGTGCTCTTTATAATCTAAATGAACCAAAGCATGAACAGGAAACCATCCGGGCAAAGCCAGTGCTCTTATTCAAAGTTAAGCACTCTCTCCTTCCAAGCCACTCAATTACTAATATTTTACTTCTACCATATGAGATAATGTGGTATCTATAACACGATAAGAAAGGCTTTATTATTACTTTATGAAAATACAACATTAATTTCTACCAGTAAAATGCAGGGATAAACTGTTTAAACTACATCTTAACATTTACAATTGCCATTTTGCTCTCTGCATTCAGGTCAAGTGCCAAAATGTTTAGTTAAATATTTACTTGCTAGATGTATTTTTCTCATCATTAAATTGTAGACCCAAACCATGGATGGGTTGAAAGCACTGTGATTTAAATGATGATCTCTTGTCTCTGTAACTACCCCGTGACAGTCTTTTTCAATGACTAATAAAAACCAGCCCACTGGGCCAAAGACTCCAGTGTGAGATACAATCACTTCAGCCAGCCTTTCACGCTATTGAGATTTGTCTTTCTCGCTATAAATTTAGTAATGCACTATGAACAGCAAAAACAAAACAAAAAGGAAAACCATGTATTTAAGACTAAACATAGGGCAGCAAATATTTATTTGTTTGACAAACATTTACCAAATGCCTCCTGTGCACTTGGTGGCGTGCAGTGAACACGGCGAGATCTGGGCCATCCCCTGGATACCTTCTCAGTTTAGAAGAGAAGGGAGGCCTAGGTGTCTGTGTGTGCCAGAAAGGGGACGAATCACCTGAAAACAGAGTGGTAAGCACCACAGCCCAGGGACATCAAAGTTCTATGGGAAAACGAGAGAGAGAGAGAACCACGTGTTTTACCGGCTGGAGGGAGAAGAGCATTGGAGAGGAGATACTTGACCTGGATTTTTAAGGAAAGGTGAGATTCACTGGGGAAAAGATACGTGGCTAGAAGGGAGAGCAAGGTGGTCCATGGAGAGGGAACAGCACATGCAAAATCTCTAGCTCATGGCACATCCAGGGCCGAGGCAAGATCACTGGAAGCTATGGCTGGATCACAGACTCTGTAAGAAACAACAGCAGCAAGGATAACGATGACAGGCGGTACCTGGGGGCACTGATTACACATCAGGCACTACTTTGTGTGCTTTATGTGAATCAACAGTTAACCCATACAAGTCACTATCAGTAACTCATGTCTGATATTTTTGCGCCATCGACAGATGAAGAAACTGACGCAGACCCCTAATGTCACTTAGCTGTCAGATGGGGGGATGAGGTTCAATCCAGGAGGTCTGCCTGTAGGGGGGCTCCTGCCTAGTACACTGCACTGCTTCTCTTCCAGGCCACACTAAGGAGCTTGGACCAAATTCTTTTAAAGTAAAGAGCAAATTTCAAAAAGTAAAAAGCTCTAGAGGCAGGTGAAGGACAGATGGTAAGGGCAGAGACAGGTCCCTGGCGGGGAGAGTAATGAGGAGGTCGAAGTAGTATAATCAGAGGCCCCGAGTTTCACCATATTAACTGAACAAGTTCAACTCAGTAAGAATAAAACCAAAGCACAAATCCATTCCTGAGACCTAGGCCAGATGTTCGCACTCAGGCGGTGACCGGGATATGTACCATTCTTGTGGTGAGTGCCCTGGCTCAGTAGGGAAACAAAGGTAGCTGAAGATGACAGTGTGAGCACCCCTAGAGATGGGGGCCTCGACACCCTTCCCCCTGGGTTAATGCCCTTTGGGAGGCATCATGATCTGCAGGACAAGGAGAAGTCACAGAGGTGGGAATTGCAATAACCCTCCTGGATCCTTGACTTGGGAAGGAGGAGGGGTAATGTGGCTCAGTAATGCCTAAAACAGCCAGTCTCGTTAGGGCACTTCAACACGATCACACTGAGGTCTAAAGCACATATATGTTTGACATCTGGGTAACTCAGCAGAAAAATCAGGCTTCTAATATAAGATGTTTCTGCTGGATTCTGGAAATTCATTTTAACCATTAGAAACAGAATGGATGTGTGTGTTGTTTCTAACTTGTCAAAACAGCAGTCTGTTTTCCAACTGCCTCAAATGAAATTTATTAGTGTGGTTAGTTTTCTAATCTTCTCATTTTAGTTCAGCTCCATCAGCACATATGGCAATGCTTCTTTGGCAAACTTTACCAGAAGGCTGCTAATGCGAGAAAAGATTTACAGGGCACAATATTAATACAGTATTTTGTCTTCGAATTTCGTGGAGGTGAGATATAAATCACACTATCCCCTCTGGTTCCAGCCCCATGTGCAACCCAGGGAAAACAGAGTTAGAGGTGTGGGGACTAAGCCCACATCAGGA